AGAAAGTCAATTATCATATGGTTTCACTTATTTGTGGAACATAAGGAATAGCATGGAGGACATTAGGAGAAGGAAGGGAAAAATGAAGGGGGGAAATTGGAGGGGGAGACGAACCATGAGAGACTATGGACTCTGAGAAAGAAACTGAGGGTTCTAGAGGGGAGGGGGTGGGGGGATGGGTTAGCCTGGGGATGGGTATTAAAGAGGGCACGTACTGCATGGAGCACTGGGTGTTACACGCAAACAATGAATTGTGGAACACTACATCAAAAACTAATGATGTACTGTATGGTGACTAACATAAAAAAAAAAGCCAATGTGGCAGACCTGAGTGCAAGTGAGGGAAGTGGAGAATGGTAAACTCCAAGATCAGGGAGCTAGAAAGAGACCAGATCATGGCCTTATCAGCCACGAGGAGGAATTTTGGTAATATTTTAATGTAATGGGAAGTCACTGGAGAATTTTGGGCAGGACAAAACCTTAACCGAATGACACTTAATAAGCTTACTTGGCTGCTGTGTAGAGAATGGATTGTGGCAAGGATAACAGGAAGAGGGACTAGCCCAGGCAGGAGATACTTGTGACTTCAATGAGGGTTGTAACAGTGGAGATGTGAACAGTGGCCCGATCCAAAGTATATTTTGAGGTTAGAGCTGTAAAGACCAGTTCATAGATTAGATTGGGAGATCAGAAAGAAAGAAGCTGATGCTGAGGTTTTTGTCCTGAGAAGCTGGGTGAATGGTGGTGCTGTTTACTAAGGGAGCAGCACATTTAAGGAGATACCAAGAGATTTACATCTGATGTATGAACATTGAGAAAGATATTAGATATTTAAGTGGAGACATTAAGTAGGCAGGTAGATATAAAATTCTAGAGAAATCAGGATAGGGAAATGATTTAAATCATTAATGTTATGGTGCTTAAGTTCCTGGACTCTTGGAAGACATCATCTAGGAGGTGAATGTAGAACGAACAGAGTGCAGGTGAAGTGGAGTAGAGGGATGACACCTGATCATTGGTGGGGGCAGATCAACATTTGGAGGTCAGGGAGAAAAGAAAGAGCAACTACTAAGATAGAAGGAAAACCAGGAGAGTATGGTGTCTAAAGTCAAGCGAAGTGTTTCCTGAAGTAGGAACTAAGCAACTCTGCCAAATGTTCCTGAGATATCCAGTTAAAGGAAATGAGATTTGAATAGTGGGTTCGGTAGGATGCAGGGAGAGTATTTGAGGAGAATTAGGAATTAGAATGACATCTTACATTTGGGAAATAAATCTATGTAGTATAACCATTAATACAATAAAATTTGAAGACTTTGAAGCCGTTTTAGTCTAGCAAAGGGTACCAGCTCAGGTTAATGGTTAAAAAGTATGTAACATTAAATTTTGAAAGTTTCAAGGGGGACTTATTGTAAACAACCTGTAATGGATTCTTTTATATAAGATACAAAAATTATATCTGAATCTGCCACGAAGGTGCTACATCCTTTTCAGTGCTGATCAGCATTTATATTCTTAGTACCTCGTGCAGTGGCTTGCATTTTTTCCAGCCTTCCTCTTTATTAAAAGGTTTTTAAAATTGGCTCTTAATGGTACTTGTGTCAAGCATCTCTTATTCTGAAAGCTTATTATTAATAAATTCTTCCTAAAATCTTGAAGTCTTTGATTTCATTCATTTTATCAGCTATGGGTGAAACAAAATATTATGTAATACAAGATAAAGAACTGAATCAGTGAATATAGGATCTGTAGTTTCTATGTCAAAGAATATGGGGCTCATAAATTTCTCTTTTGGTTTCAGGAAGTAGATAAAAGCCCTCTATAGAGAAGTTGGGCTGTTAAGTGGTTATCTTGTCAAACAAGGAGAATTTCAGAAGATGTAATGGAGTGACTTGTCTGGGATGAGCAGTGTTAGCAGGAAAAGGCATACAAGGCAGCTTATATTGTGTGATGCTGAAGTATGACAGGATGTAGATCTGGTTCTTATTGAAAATGTAGCAAGAGACTTTTTTAATTGAAAAGAACATGGACTCAGATCTGGAAAAGAGAATGGAGCAGTTATTAGACAAGTGTGGGGATCAAATGGGAATCCATAGATAAAAACTGGCAGCATTGCTTGTCTTCCTGAAAATTGAACTGCAAGCTATTTCTGCTGTTTTTTGTAGGTTTGCTTTTTTCTCTGTCCTGTATGGGCTGCATGCAGCCTTCTCAGTTTATTCATCATCACCCTGTATAATTTCTGCTTTAACTTGGCTGTCATGTCTTCTTTGGCTCAAATTTCAAATGACCTTTAAGCTTTGGCTGTCATTGACTCACAGCAGCCCACCGTGTTTTAGTTTAAATACCTGAAAGTGAGAATCTGGTCTAACGTGCTTTTCTTTCTCTCCCTTTGCTCCCTGGGCCTTACAGCTCTGGTTAGCCTCGATTGGCTACCCTTGGGTGCCCATCCCTAGTTCAGCAACTGCTCAGGGAAGGGCAGCGTCTTTGGGTAGAGAAAGGGCAGTGATGGGGCAGACAGTGGCCTTCTCTCAGTGTGTCTTCCTCACTTTAAGATTGTATGATTAATTGAAATTATAAAGGCTTGGAATTTTGGAGAAATGGCATGAAGTCACTATGGTTGTTGGAATAAGCATGGCAAGAGTAGTGGTAGAGGTAGAGTAGAGGTAGCCTGGGCCAGACTATGTAGAGCCTTGCATGCTATGAATAGAGTTTGAAGTGTGTGTTTGTGTCTCAGATAAATATCCACATTTGTTCAAATATGTGTTAGAGATACATAGGGAAAAATCTGAAGTGTTACATACCAAATTAATAATAACTGTTTCTCTGGAAAGAGGGAGGAGACTAGGATTGGGGTTGTGGTCAGATTTTACCTTTATATGTAAATATTTGGTAAAGGGGGATATAGTCATTCCTGTTTGTGGAATTCAGAGTTAATTAAAAGAGGTAGGAGGCAATGACCAGAAGAGTATGGTTTGAAGCAGGGTCAGTCTGTGAGGCCTGGAGATCTACCGACTATGCAGCCCCAGGGAGGCAATTCTGAGCCCTAGGACTCAAAAGAACAAAGTTGGAAAACTGAGAATCTAGTCCAACTCTAAGTTCTTAGCAAGACATTCCTGAACATTAATAACTTTGAGCTACAATGTGACAAACTAAAAGAATATGAATCAAGGACCTCTAAAATAATGTAATAAATTTTTTTTTAAAGATTTTATTTATTTATTCATGAGAGACACAGAGAGAGAGAGAGAGCGAGAGAGAGGCAGAGGGAGAAGCAGGCTCCCAAGGAGCAGGGAGCCCGATGCGGGACTTGATCCCAGGACTCTGGGATCATGACCTGAGCCGAAGGCAGACGCTTAACCATCTGAGCCACCCAGGCGCCCAATAATGTAGTAAATTAATACTAAAACTAGTAATGCTCTCTTCATTAAAATTTTTAAGATTTCATAATCTTGAAGTATATACAGTCAAATTTGGGTCAGTATTGTCAGTTGAATGTGTCATAATAGAATACCTATAACATGATATTTGCCTGTACGAAGAATATCAAACACTGTGGTTTTAACTTATAAGTGTTGACACCAAAAGATGTAGGTAGTGGCTGAAGAATTTTATTCATTTTAATGTTTATTTACATGGTCTTCTAAAATTTAAGCTTAGCATATAGTATATAAAATTTATAAGAAATTGCATGTGTGTTTTAGTGTTTCTTAAGAGGGTTTTAAAGTTTTAAGAACTTTTTTTATTATTATTCTTAAATATTTTATTTTTAAGTAGTCTCTACTTAACCCAACATGGGACTTGAACCCACAACCCCAAGATCAAGAGTCACATGCTCCACTGACTGAGCTAGCCAGGTGCTTCCCCACCCCCATCCTTTTTTTTTTTTTTTTTTTTTTTTTTTTTACAGATTTTATTTTTTAAGTAATCTCTACACCCAATGTGGGAAGAGTTTCAAGAACTTTTAAATGGCTGACCTGAGTATGAAAACACTTGAAAGAGTTGAAGAAATTGTAATGAAAGATTAGAAGAACCAGATACAAATGAGGCCCTTTCTATTTAGTTAATTCTTACAGAACTCTGAAGTGCCTGATACTGCCCCAAACACTTTATACGTTTTTAACTCATTTAATACTATGCTGACAAAGATAGACTACACTGGTTAAAAAGGATCAAGAATGAGAAGAACTAAAACAGTCTAACAGAAGTTCTGAATAATGTGAAAAGAACATAACATAGGAAATGCTTGTTACAGTGTGAGCATTGGTGTTAACTGGATACTTTGTCATCACGTGTATGCCTCTTATTTCATTTTATTCAAATATGTTTTTTTCAGATATGTTTATTCAAAGATGACTATTAAGTTTTCCCTTTTCAGTGACATGCAACAAATTAGAGATAGAGACTTTCAGCCAAATCTTATTTTCTAAAACTTATGTTTAGTAACCAGTTTTTAAGAGGTGTATGGTTGGCCTTGTTAAATGTTGTATCTGAAAAAAATGATGTTACTAATGTTATGAACTGTGTAATAATGTGTAATAAATGATGTGTAATAAATGATGAAATTTGTGAATAAATGTATTACTATTGCTATTCAAAGCCACTGAAATTAGCTAGAATGGCTTGGTTGTGCTCTTTTTGATGACTGGTTCCCCTGGAGACAACACTCAGTGGTTCTGGGAACAGTCACTGTTTTATAATGCTGTACTGGACTTGAAATGAGAGGGACTGGGGGAAGAAGACATTAAGCGTAACACAAAATACTGATTGAAAACATCTTAGCTAAAACAGATCTATTCCCGATACCAGGGATACGCATATATTTTTTGTCTAGTACTCCTGAAATTATGTGTTTTAGGGTTTTTCTCCAGTGTGTCTCCTAAAAGAAGTTCTTGTAGAATATAAAGATAGTTTACTTGGTTTAAAATGTTTGTGTGTGTATGAGTTTGCTTATATATATATATTTTTACAGTATTTTTAAACAACTTTTTGCCTTATTTTCCTAGGGAGTTGGTCTCTCAGTTCATGGGCAATTCCGAGTGGCTACTGAAAAGTCTCTTTTTGCGATGCCAGAAACAGCAATAGGTAAAAACCCTCAATTTCTCATAATCACATCTAGAACTATCTTTGGATGCATTTCAGATTACACTGTCGTTAAAGAAATTGATGGAATCTTGCTGAGATACAGCAATGAAAGAATTCTTAAAAAGAAATTAGGAAGATACCTGAAAGTTATATTAGCTCAGTAATTGTATCTGAAAACACAAAAGAATATTTAACTGGCAACACTAACACACTGGTCATTAATTTTAGATAAAAGATTATTAGGAGAAAATAGTCTTGTTTTCAGATCTATGATCCATTTTTATTTATTTATTTATTTTTTTGAGAGAGAGTGTGCCTGAGTTGGGTGGGGAGGTGCAGAGGGAGAGAGAATCCCAAGCAGGCTCCATGCTCAGCTTGATCTCACAACCTTGAGATCATGACCTGAGCCAAAATCAATAGTTGGCCACTTAACCGACTGAGCCACCCAGGTGCCCCCATTTTGAAATTTTTGTACATGGTGTGAAATGTGGATCAAAGGTATAGATCAAATTTTATTATTTTGCACATGGAGATATAGTCATTCACACACTACATTTTGAAAAAGCTGTTGTTTCTCCACTGATGGCTTTTGTCCCTTTATATGTGTTATATTGGTGCCAACACTACAGTCTTGGTTATTGTTGCTTTATTGTAGAAATCAGGTAGCAATAATCCTCTCATTTTGTTGTTTTCCCCAGGTTGTTTTGGCTATAAAGATCCTTTGTATTTCTATATGAATTTTAGAGTCAGCTTGTCAATTTCAACTAGATTTTGTAAAGTTGAATTTCCTTTTTATTTGTCTCAAAGAATTTTTTAAAATTTCTTTCTGATTTCTTCATTGTCCCATTGGTTATTTAGTAACATGTTACTTAGTCTTCATGTGTTTGTGGTTTTTTTTTTTCCAGTTTTCTTCTTGTAATTGATTTCTAGTTTCATACAGTTAAGGCTTGATATGATTGTAATTGCCTTGAATTTATTGAGACTTGTTTTGTGGCCTAACTTGTGATCTATCATGAAATATATTCCATGTGCATTTTTAAAGAAATGTTCTTTTTATATCTACTAAGTCCATGTGGTCTAATATGTTGATTTTTCGGTGTGGATGATCTATCCATTGATGTAAGTGGGGTATTAATGTCCTGTATTATTATTGTATTACTTCATTTAGGTCTGTTAATATTTACTTTATATATTTAGGGGATTCTGTGTTAGGTGTGTAAGTATTTATAAATGCTATATCCTCTTCTTGGAATGACCTCTTTATCGTCATGTAATGCTTTTCTTTGTCTTTTGTTACAGTCTTTGTTTTAGAGTCTGTTTTGTCTTACATGAGTATCACTACACCAGCCTTTTCTTTTCCATTTGCATGGACTATCATTTTCAGTCCGTGTGTGCCTTTAGATCTGAAGTGAGTCTCTTCTAGGCAGCATATAGATGGATCTTTTTTTTAATCCCTTCAGCCACCTATGTCTTGATTGTAGCATTTAATACATTATGTTAAAAGTAGTTATTAATAGGTATGTACTTATTGTCATTTTGTTAATTGTTTTCTGGTTGTTCTTGTAATTCTTCTCTGTTCCTTTCTTCTTGGTGTATTGCCTTGTGGTTTGATGGTTTTCTTATGTTTGGGTTTCTTTTCATTTTTTGTATATCTGTTATGGGTTTTGGTTTGACGTTACCATGAGGTTCACATATATCAACCTGTATATATATATATATATATATATATATATAGCAGTCTTTGTCTTTTATGTATATATATAAAATATATGTATGATATGATATATATATATATCAGTCTGTTTTAAGTTGATAGTCACTTAAGTTCAAGCACATTCTAAAAGCCCCACATTTTTACTCCTCCCCCTCCTTTTGACGTTCTATTTTTACATCTTTTTATTTTGTGTATCCTTTCTTTTTTTAAGATTTTATTTATTTGACAGAGAGAGACACAGCGAGAGAGGGAACACAAGCAGGGGGAGTGGGAGAGGGAGAAGCGGGCTTCCCGCCTAGCAGGGAGCCCAATGCGGGGCTCAATCCCAGGACCCTGGGTTCATGACCTGAGCTGAAGGCAGATGCTTAACGACTGAGCCACCCAGGCGCCCCTTGTGTATCCCTTGACTACTTATTCTAGTTACAGTTGATTTACTATTTTTGTCTTTTAGTCTTCATATTAGCTTTTTAAATGGCTGATCCCCCTGCCTTACTATATATTTGCCTTTACCAGTGAGATATTTTTCTTTCATATGTTTTCTTATTTGTAGTTATAGCCTTTTTTTTTTTTTTTTTGCTTAAAGAAGACCCTTGAGGCGCCTGGGTAGCTCAATCAGTTAATGATCTGCCTTTGGCTCAGGTCATGATCTCAGGGTCCTGGGATCAAGCCCTGCATCAGACTCTCCACTCAGCGGTGAATCTGCTTCTCCCTCTCCCTCTATGATATCTCTTGCTTTTGCTGTCCCTCAAATAAATAAATCTTAAAAAATAAAAAAAAAAAGACCACCCTTTAACATTTCTTGTAAAGCTAGTTTAGTGGTGATGAACTCCTTTAATTTGTGTGGGAAACTCTATCTCCTCTTCAATTCTGAATGATAGCCTTGCTGGATAGAGTATTCTTAGTTGTAAGTTTTTTCCTTTCAACACTTTAAATATATTCTGCCACTCTCTTTTGGCCTGTAAAGTTTCTGGGGAAAAATCAGCTGATTGTCTTATGGAGTTTCCCTCTTATGTGACTATTTGTCTTTCTCTTGCTGCCTTTAAGATTTTTTAAGTTTTGCTGCTTTTAATTATTATGTCTTGGTGTGGGTCTCTTTGGGTTCACCTTGTTTGGGACTTTCTTTGATTCTTGGACCTGGATGTCTGTTTCCTTCCATGGGTTAGGGAAGTTTTCAGCCATTATTTCTTCAAATAAGTTTTCTTCCCCTTTCTCTCTCTTCTCCTAGGGCCCCTATAATGTGAATATATGTACACTTGATGTTTTCCTAGAGATCTCTAAAGCTACCCTCATTTTTTAAAATTATTTTTTCTTTCTGCTGTTCTGATTAGGTAATTTCTACTATTCTGTCTGCTAAATGCTGATTTGTCCTTCTGTATCATTTCAGTGATTCTTCAGCTCTGGTTCTTATATTTTCTAACTCCTTGTTGAAGTTCCTTTATTCTTAAGTGCAGTGAGCATCTTTATGATTATTACTCTGAACTCTTTATCAGGTGGTTTACCTGATAAATTACTTATCTCTGTTTCATTAAGGTTTCTTTCCCTCCCTAGGGTTTTATCTTCTTTTGTTTGGAACATATTCCTCTGTCTCCTCATTTTGTTTGACTTTCTATGTGTGTTTCTGTGAATTAGAATAGCTACCTACCTCTCTTAGTCTTGAAGGAGTAGCCTTGAGCAGGAGCATCCTCTGTATAGACTGGTATGCCTGGCAGCTTTGGCTGGTTGGAGCTGGAGCAGAGATGGGCCATGAGTATGCTGCTCTGGGGTTACCTTGACAGGACAGGTGGGGGGATGGGGTGGGCGCCTTCAGCAGATAGCTAGAATTCATGTGGGCTAGGGATCTGTGACTTGCTAGGGCAGCCCTATAGATTGACTAGAGTGCCTGGACCCTGCTCCTGTCTGCACTGTGAAGGTGGATTGGGTTGGGGGGAACGGGGGGTGCAATGTGAAATGTGATGCTTGTTGGCATCTCTGACCCCAGAGAGTTCCAGCAGTCCCTTGCCCATTTGGTGGATGCTGCAGGGTTAGTAAGTGGATTTTCTTCACTTACATTCTAATTGCTCTTTAAACAGCTGTGTTTGTTTTGTTTTGTTTTTTTCCACTGTGCCCAGAGTCGGTGAGTCTGTGCAGGGGCCCCTCAGTGATATCCCTCCTTACTGTAAGGCATCACATTGGGAGTGGTGTTCCTGTGGTTACTGCCTGTATCTCTGTCTCTCCTGCTGTTGTATATGTGGTTCCCCCTATCACTTTTTGTGCAGAAGCTGTTCAATTGGTTCTCAGTTCTTTTTCAGCAGGAATTGCTGTATATGTAGATGTAGATGTGGTGTATCTGTGGAAGAAGGTGAATTCAGGGTCTTCCTAAGCCACCATCGTGAACTGCCACCTGAAGTACAATTGATTCTCTATTGACTTTGTCTCCTGCAAACTTCCTAAACTCATTTATTAGTTCTAGTGGATTTTTTTTTTTTGTAGATTGTATTAGGTTTTTTTTTTTTGTTTAAATAATTACATTATTTACAGATAAAGTCACTTTTACATTTTCCTTTCCAATCTGGATACTCTTTATTTTTCTTGCCTTATTACACTGGGTTAGAACCCCCAATACAATGTTGAATAGAGGTATTGAGAGTGGGCATTCTTGCCTTGTTCTTGATCTGAGGGAAAACATTCAGTCCTTCAATTAAGTGGGAGTTTGGGTGTAAGTTTTTCATAGGTGCCCTTTATCAGGATGAAGATGTTTTCTTCTATTTCTAAATTGCTGAGGGTTTTTATTAGGAATGGATTTTGAATCTAAAAAGCTAAAACCTTTTCTGCATCAGTTGAGGTGATTATTGGTTTTTCTTTTTTAGTTTGTTAACATGGTGAATTGCTTTGCTTCATTTTTTTAACATTAAACTAGCCTTGCATTACTAGGATAAATCTCACTCTGGCATGAGGTGTTATACTTTTTATATGTTGTTAGGTTTGATATACTAAAATTTTATTTGGAATTTTTGCATCTGTGTCCATGAAAGACATTGGTCTGTGGTTTTCTTGTAATGTCCTTGCTTCCTTCTGGTATGGGGGTAATGCTGGCCTCATTTTCTGGAGGAGTTTCTGTAGAATTGGTATAATTTTTTTCTGTGTTTGGTAGAATTCATCAATGAAGCCATCTAGACCTGAACTTTTCTTTGGGGGAAGGTTTTCAACTACAAATTTAAAGTCTTTAATATATGTAGGGCTATTCAAATTATCTCTTTCTTGCACAAACTTTGGTAGGGTGGATCTTTTAAGAAATTTGTCCAATTTATTAGCATCCAGTTTTTCATAAAGTGAAAACTTTTATGGGGGACACAATTCAGTCCTAACAGGGACTTATCAGCATATAGATGTTATCTAGAGCCATAAGTGCTAAGGAAATGTGTGTGTAGGGATAGCCTAAGATCAAGCCTAGGCACAGCAGCATGTAGAGGTCAGGCGAAGGAAGCAGACCCAGCAAGGGGGAATGGAAAGAAGCAGCCATTGAGACAGGGGCAAAAAAGAGAGAATGTAGTACCCTGGAACAGAGGAACATATTTCAGGACAGAGTGTGTTTTCCCTTGGGCAGAGTGCTGCTGAGGCTGTGGGGCAGGTAGTATATAGTGTAGAATGCATGTAGAGTGTAGAATGTTGGGGAACCGAAAGAAGAACAGACAGGCTGGAACGTAGTAAATGAGTAGTAAGAGATGTACTTGAAAAAGTGATTGGGGGCCTTGAAGACTTTGATAAAATGCTGGTTTTAATCTAATAGAAGTAGTTATGGCATAGTTTGAAGCAGTAGAAGGCAACACTCTTATCAAGATTTATGTTATTAAAAAGATCACTGGCTATTGTATGGAGAACTTTCAGGAGAAAGAATCAATAGGTCATAGTCACTGGTGTGTGTTAAAAGGGTGGTGTGAGAAGAGGATGTTAAGACTGGATAGTTGTGCACTTTTTGAGGTAAGTGATACTAGGAGACAGATGATAGGAGTTGGGGGAAGTCATTAATTCAATTTTAGACCCATCTTGTTTGAGGCGCTTAGAAATATTTACAGTAGAATGCTGCTAATTCTTTCAAGTCTAGGAACTTTTTGTCAAGTAGAACTGGAAAGAATTTGAATGCTTGTATTTTTATCTCAATTTCATTAAATGAAGCAATCTTAGAATAGATATCTGGATTTTAAAACTAGAGGGTCACAATTGGTTAAGGAGCTCTTAAATACCAAAAAGTAATGTACTGGCAAGTATTTGCATATATGCTATTTTCAGTTGTTACCAGTAGAGAGAATAAGGGAATTAAAAAAAAAAAAGATGGCTAAGAAAAGAGTAGATGCAAGTGATTTTATTAGGTATAAACATTCTTGGTGTAGGACTAAAGGTTATTGCATCACTTTAAATATCTTGAATGTTAATTAACAGAATAGACTATGATTTGAATGGTAACAAATTTTCACATAATATAGCTTTAGATTATGCATATTTTTTCTTATTTGAAAGAAAATTTTTTATTTAAATTCAATTAGCCAACATATAGTGCATCATTAGTTTTTGATGTAGTGTTCAATCATTCATTTTCATTGTTTACTATTTCAGAGATTATTAAAAATAGTGATAAGGAAATTTTAGGTAATATTTAATGAGTACAACTTATATATAAAAAGTTATGCCATCAAATACTTTATTGACTTCTATAGAAATGAGGCATGAAATTTTTGAAAAATACTCAAGTCAGAACAATTTAATAGCAAGTCTTTTGTGATATTGATTGCATTGGAAAGTACTTAGTAATATTTTTAGTATAGATTCAAATACTAGATAGAAATGGCCATTTGATCTCAAGTAAAGAGTTATATTCATTTTTTTAGTTTGAATCATTATCATCTCTTTTCATTATTTAATACAGGACTCTTCCCTGATGTGGGTGGAGGTTATTTCTTGCCACGACTTCGAGGAAAACTTGGTTACTTCCTTGCATTAACAGGATTCAGGCTGAAAGGAAGAGATGTGTATGCAGCAGGAATTGCTACACATTTTGTAGATTCTGAAAAGGTAATTATTTGGATAATTGCATTTTGTGTTATTGGAATAACTCATGTTGCACGGGAAAGCAGTATAAGTGGTTGAGATCCCAGGCTTTTGGTTAGATGTGGGTCTGAATCCGGGATCTACTGTTTAAAGTTGTGTGACCTTTGGAAAGATAATTAAGCTCTTCAATCATGTTTCCTCATGTGCAAAATGGAGATAATTATGTCTGGATTCAGGCCTGTTTTGCCTGGCACCTCCAGTGAATATTTTTTCATGAATAGTTACACTTTGGTTAAAAAAATACCTACTTTAAGAAAATCTAATATATAAGAATCTAAATTTATATATAAAAAGATAGGCTTTTATTTTACAAAAACATTTTTGAAAGTTTCTCTTGGTTGTGAGTTTCCCTACTAGTGTGTTTAAGAGTTACATTTGTAAAATATGGTCTTAAAAACTTTTCTAAAGGCTGTTGCAAGGGACACATATTACTTAGCTTTGTCTTTTTTTTTTTTTTAACAGAAAATTTAACAGTTTTCTTAGCACAGAATAGCACAGTGGCAAAGAATGTACAGACAGACAGCTTAGGTTTAAATACTAGCTTGAATTTAGCTTCTTTATCCCCTAGTTTGCCCATTTCTATATGGGGATGGCAGTTCCTACCATAGTAGTTGAATCTTTTTGTGGTCAATGTAACAGAAAATCCAGTTCAAGGTGGCATTGCCTCAGAATTTACAGCAAGAAATTTGGGATTTATTCTGCTTCAACTGGGAGCTCACTCTCCTTGAACTGGCTTATATTACCCTTGAACTCATGAGCCAGTTAACCTACATTAACTAATCTACCTTGCTAATGTGTTCCATATCTGGAAGTATGGGGTGAACTTAGCTTTCTAGGAGGAAGCACATAGATCTCCAAATGGATATCTGATCTTGAGAGAGGGACGTTTTGGGATAGGAGGAGGAATGTTACAAAAAAGTATGAGAACCTTCTATCACATTGCTTGAAGTTTCAGATCTTTCTCCATGTTAGGGACATCCACAGTCACACTGAGTAGGTGTCTGTCCCATCCTTCCCGTGAGCCGTAAGAGGAAGCAAACATGAGACTCCCATTATGTACTCTGGAGGGACACCCTTTGTTAGAGTGGAATTTAGTTAAGGATGGGAGAGCGCGCTGATCCACAACTTAATTCCCTTCGTCAGCCTGCTCAGTAATAATTTCTACAATGTGTAGACTGCCATTCACAGGGCCTGTACAGGATAACAGAAATGAGTACTGAATATTGGGGTTGAGACTAGAGGTGGGTACAAAAGATAAAAGGTAAATAACCATCTGTCTCATCTGACAAAGTAGAATATGAGAAGTGTAACAACTGAATATAGAGAAAGTACTCAATGGATTGAAAGGAGAGAAAACTTAAAAGGCTGGAAGTTTTCTCATAGAGATTGCAGTTCAGCTGGGCCTTAAGATGAATATTGTCACGAAAAGGCATTCTAGATAGAGGAAACATGTAATGAGCAAGCCAGTGGGCAGGAAAGCTTAGCTATGTTTTGGAAACAGTAAAAAGTCCCATTTGGCTGAGCACAGAATAGTATGTGAGGGATATAGATGGAGATTAAGTGTGGCTATATTATAGAGCTGTGCACTGACCATAGTAACCATTAGTCTCATGTGGCAATTTTAGTTAAAATTAATTGAAATAAAATTTATAATTCAGGTCTTTGTTGCAGTACTGCATTTCAAGTGTTTAATAGAGAGAAACAAAGATGAATGTCTCTCCTCTTTAGTTTCTTCCATCTTTATCTAATTCCTTGCAAGGCAACATTTGCTGTGTGGGAATGTGTGTGCATTCAACTTCAGAGAAAATTTCCTTCACTGATTCAGCTGAAGAGAGCACATCATAATTTTAAGACAAGTATTTTTAAAAAGAGTATAAGGTTTCTTTAAAAGAAAGTCCTGGTGCAGCCACTCTGGAAAACAGTTTGGAGTTTCCTCAAAAAGTTGAAAATAGAGCTACCCTACGACCCAGCAATTGCACTACTGGGTATTTACCCCAAAGATACAAATGGTAGTGATCTGAAGGGCTATGTGCACCCCAATGTTTATAGCAGCAATGTCCACAGTAGCTAAACTATGGAAGGAGCCAAGATGTCCATCAACAGATGAATGGAGAAAGAAGGTGTGGTATATATATACAATGGAATATTATGCAGCTGTCAAAAAAACCAAAATCTTGCCATTTGCGACGATGTGGATGGAACTAGAGGGTATTATGCTAAGTCAACTAAGTCAATCAGAGAAAGACATGTATCATATGATCTCACTGATATGAGGACTTCTTAATCTCAGGAAACAAACTGAGGTTTGCTGGAGTGGTGGGAGGGGTGGGGTGGCTGGGTGATGGACACTGGGGAGGCTATGTGCTATGGTGAGCGCGGTGAATTGTGCAAGACTGTTGAATCACAGACCTGTACCTCTGAAACAAATAATACATTATATGTTAAAAAAAAAAAAGTAGGAGGGGAAATCGGAGGGGGAGACGAACCATGAGAGACTATGGACTCTGAGAAACAAACTGAGGGTTCTAGCGGGGGTGAGGAATGGGTTAGCCTGGTGATGGGTATTAAAGAGGGCACATATTGAATGGAGCACTGGGTGTTATACACAAACAATGAATGATGGAACACCATATCAAAAACTAATGATGTAATGTATGGTGATTAACGTAACATAATAAAATTTAAAAAAATTTAAAAAGTCCATGTTTATATTGGGGTTCAAATCTGTTTTCCTTTTTTTCCCTCTTTTAGTTGGGCATGTTAGAAGAAGATTTGTTAGCCCTAAAATCTCCCTCAAAAGAAAATATTGCAGATGTCTTAGATGCTTACCATGCAAAGGTAATCTTGTCAGTATTCTAACTTCAGATTTTAATTCATGGGGAAGGGGAAATGACTGAAAAATTAGCAGTTGGTGAATGTTATAGTTTGTGGATATAAAGATGCTGGGATTTATTAACTTGAAAGCTTGATGGAAGGTCAGAGCTTCAGAATTGTTAGGATAGCCATCTAAGAAGATGACTTCTTTGCCACACAAGAACACAGCTTATCTTCTCATTGCTGGTGAATTTCAGCGTGTAGCTTTGTGATTGGTCTTTGCAATGGCTTTTTGCAATGCACTGTGACATTTCTGTAATGGATGGTTCAATGTTGACACTGTTGAGCTGCTAAAGTGAATCTCTGATGCATATCTAAATATAATGATAAAGTATATTGCATAATGATAAATTATATATCATATATAAGATAAAGTATATATTGTTCACTTTTAATTCCTGACTTATGTTGTGTAACTTAAATTTTCTTTTAAGAGCCAAAAATCTATAAAAATGTTACATGATGGGATGCCTGGGTGGCTCAGTTGGTTAAGCAGCTGCCTTCAGCTCAGGTCATGATCCCAGAATCCTGGGATCAAGTCCTGCATCAGGCTGCCCACTTAGCAGGGAGCCTGCTTCTCCCTCTGCCTGCCAGTCCTCCTGCTTGTGCTCTCTCTCTCTCTCTCTCTCTCTGACAAATAAAAAATAAAATCTTAAAAAAAAATGTTACATGACTTCTGATAAAACATGACGGGTTCAGTATATGCTCCCTTCTAAAACCCCACTAAAATTGTAATAAAAGAATAAAAAAGGCACAAATCCACAAATAGAAGAGGAGACAATGGCAGGTATGAGATGTCAATATTTTGGAAGCTTGAAAACAGAAGGACGAGGGCAGCTACTTTAGATTTGAGAACACTGAAATATCTTATCCTTTAGTAGGGGAAGCCAGGAAGAAGCAAACCAGTTTTTGCTCTGTACCCCCCGTAAGGTACCAGAGTCCCCTGAAGACTGGGATGTGGAGATGGGCAGAAAAACAAGAAGATCCCTGCAAACTTTTATAAGGTGCAGTTAGGCCTCCAGAAGTCTCCCCTCTGTACCACCAGTCACCCTTTCATAGTTTGGCTAAAGAGTAGAAATTTACTACTTAGGTCAAATCAGACAGACCTAGCTGATCTTGGGGGAAGGCGAAGTGAAGTGCTCTACTAAAAAGAGGCAGAACATACTAAGTAGGAAGACTTCTAGCTTCTTTTCCTAGTTAGCTTCCAGACTATTAAATATCCTCTATCTTAGTTTGGGCAACTATAACAAAAATACCATAGGCTGGGTGGCTTAAACAATAGAAACTTATTTCTCACAGTTCTAGAGGCTGGGAACTCCAAGATCAGGTGTCAGAAAATTAGATTCTTGGTGAGGACCTGTTTCTGGTTTGCAGATGGACAGACGCCTTCTTTCTATATCCTCACACAGCAAAATGAGCTCTCTCCGATCTCTTCCTACAAGGTCACTAATCCCATCATAAAGGCTCCACCCTCTTGACCTAATTCCCTCTCAAAGGCCCTACCTCCAAGTACCATCACTTCGGGGATTAGAGTTTCAACATGAATTTTGGGGTGGCACAGTCAATAGCACTATCCCACTCCTAAGCAGTACATTCGAAGAAAAAGGAAAAAACCTGTAGATGTTGACATTTGAGGACACCCCCGCCCCGCAACAACGAAACATCCAGGTCTTTGCTTAATTTATAATGCATCAGACAATTGACAGTCCTATAACTGTGATCAACTTTACACATAAAGCTACTTAATTTTAGAACTTCATGCTAAAATTTTTTTATGCCAAGTATAAAAACAAATTGGTCAAAACAAAAAAAGCACTTGAAGCAAGCAGTGCAGGGAAAGGAAACTTGAAAAAAGAAAGAAAAACTATAATTGTTAAAACTGTAAATGTTCAGGTAAGAGGAAAATATTTCATCTGTGAAATAAGAACAGATGTAATATAGTAGTCAAAGAATAAAAAAGAATATGATAACAAAAGGGAAAAAACCCACAACAAATTAGATTAAAATTGAAGGTTGAGGAAAAGTGTAAGAGGGCAAAAAGGATAATAAGATGGAAAATGGAGAGAAGGGAACATTAGAGACCTATATCTAATTATTAGGAATTCATAACAGAGAAGAGAAAGGGGAGGAAATATTTAGAAAAATAGTATAAAAATTTATTCAGAACTGAAGAATATGAATATGGATTGACAGAGCCTCTGAATACTCAGTGCAATGAATATGAACACAGAGCACATGAGGATTTCATCAGATTTTGTCAAAGCATTTGACGGTCTCTCATGTTGGGTAAATATAGCATGGATTAGAGTGGATGGGAGTTGAAGGGCCTTACCAGAGAGTTCTGCTAATTGTGTGGGTATTAGTCTATAGATAAAGTCATCTTGGCCTTTTTCAGCTTTTTTTCTCAGTGATTTGGGTGAGAATGTTGACAGCATTTTGATCAAATTGATTTGAAACTAAGAAAAAAATTAGGTAAAAGAATATGGATTAAAAAACCCCTTCAAGTTTAGAGTGATCTGTTTAATAGTATCAGTGTGAAAGGTAATAAATGTATGGGAAAAACACTCCCTGTGTTTTCTCATACTACCATATTCACAACATTTCTGACACCAGATGTGTGGGTTTTCTACACATCAAGCAATTCAATGCGACACCACCTGGGTGTCCTATAATTCATTTCGGTAGTGACACTATCTACCTGGAGTTAGCATCAGATGCCACAACCTAAGCTCAGTCCCACAAGACTGACCCCACTTCAGATGCCAGTCACAAGTCCTAGCTTGTTACCTGTACTTTTGATTGACCATAAATTGGGGTTCTCATGACCCCTTCCTTGGGTTCGATAATTTGCTAGAATTTCTTACAGAACTTGGAAATACTTAATGTTTGTTGGTCTATTACAAAGGATACAATAAAGGATATGAATGAATAGTCCAATAAAAGGTACACAGGGCAAGGTCTGGAAGGGTCTCAAGCCCAGGAGCTTCTGTCCCAGTGAAGCTGGGATGTACCACTCTCCCTGCTTGTGGATGTGTTCATTAACCTGGAGCTCTCCAAACTCCATCCTTTTGGATTTTTATGGAGGCTTTATTACATAGTCAGTGTTGGTTAAGTTATTAGCTATTGGCGATTGAGCTTAATCTCCAACCCCTTTTTCCTCACTGGAGGTAGAGGGAGGGAGGCGGGAGATGGTGGCAGTGTTGGGATGGGGCTTGATTAGAAGGTGGGACTGAAAGTTCTACTCTTCTAATCACTGGTTGGTTCCCCTGGTGACCAGCCCCATTCTTAGGAGCTTTCCAAAAGTCACCTCTGTTAACATAACCGTGATGGGAAGGGGCTTGTTATGAATAACAAAAGGCCCATTTCACCTTAATTTTGGGACAAAAGACCAAATACAACATACAACAAAAGATGCTCTTTTTAAAGGAATTTCAAGGTTTGGGGTAGCTGTGAGCCAGGAACAAAGAACAAATATATGGGCAAAGACCAAATATGTATTTATTATTTTATTTTTAAGATTTTATTTTTAAGTAATCTCTGTACCCAACGTGGGGCTCAAACCTACAACCCCAAGATCAAGAGTCGCATGCTCTACCAACTGAGCCAGCCAGGTTTCCCTGTATTTCTTACTTTATTTCTTATTTTTTTAAACTTTTTATATCTGAGCTTTTTTTTTTTTTTAAAGATTTTATCTGAGAGAGAGAGAAAGAGATAGCTTGAGTGGGGAGGAGAGGGAGAAACAGACTCCCCACTGAGCAGAGAGCCCGACATGGGGCTCGATCCCAGGACCCGGGGATTGTGACCTGAGCTGAAGGCAGACGCTTAAACCAACTGAGCCACCCAGGCGCCCCTGTATTTCTTATTTTAAATCACAGGATCACAATAGAGAGAAGTGAAAATTTTGAATTTCAGTCCAAAGTGCCAAATTTATAAAGTACAGCATGGGAGAAATGTAGCCTACAAGAGCACTGGTTTAAAAAAAAAGATAACATAATAGAACTGCCCCCAAACTAACTCAGACTTAGTCCTATTAGTAAAAGGGTTATATCCAAACAAACAAGGATATGTGGAGTCCTGGTGCACTTGGCTACGATTCAGTCATACCTAGAGCTAAAGTGTACATTCCACACTTGGTCAACTGGAACTTGTGCATAAGAAGGACCTGATTGTGAGGGGACACGAAACTGCACTCTGTGAGAAAAGAGGTGGATATATATACACAATGGAATATTATGCAGCCATCAAAAGGAATGAGATCTTGCCATTTGCGACGACGTGGATGGAACTGGAGGGTGTTATGCTGAGTGAAATAAGTCAATCAGAGAAAGACATGTATCATATGACCTCACTGATATGAGGAATTCTTAATCTCAGGAAACAAACTGAGTGTTACTGGAGTGGTTGGGGGTGGGAGGGATGGGGTGGCTGGGTGATAGACTTTGGGGAGGGTATGTGCTACGGTGAGCGCTGTGAATTGTGCAAGACTGTTGAATCACAGATCTGTACTTCTGAAACAAATAACGCAACATATTTTAAGAAAAAAGGAAAAGAAGAAGATAACAGGAGAGGAAGAAAAGGGGAGTATGTCAGAGGGGGAGACGAACCATGAGAGATGATGGACTCTGAAAAACAAACTGAGGGTTCTAGAGGGGAGGGGGGTAGGGGGATGGGTTAGCCTGGTGATGGGTATTGAGGAGGGCACGTTCTGCATGGAGCACTGGGTGTTATGAACAAACAATGAATCATGGAACACTGCATCAAAAACTAATGATGTAATATATGGTGATTAACATAACAATAAAAAAATTAAAAAAAAAAAGAAAAGAGGTGGAAGCAGGATTCACTAGAACTATAAACATGAGAGGACTGATTTGGCCCAGAATTAAAAAAAAAATCCTAATTATAGTTATTTGAGCACTGTGAGTTCCTTCTCAAGCTACTGCTTTCTCTCTCTGGAGGTCAGTGCTACACAGATATCAGAGATGTGGTCGGAGTTTTCTGTATCAAATGGAAATTTTGGCAGGATGACTTCTCAGGTCCCTTATAATCCTTAATTCATTGCCATACTTTAATGATGTAGCATATATAATAATATATAAATAAAAATAACGGAACATATTTTGCCTTTGGCACTTTTAAGAACTAGTCTGGAATAACACCATCTGAATTTTGAACATGTGGTAGCTATTTATAAGACTGTTGGATATAATTTGACTGAAAGTGATAATCTATCACAAAGTGTATCATTAAATAGGATGACATTTTAAAGGATTTTTAGATTTGGGTTACTTCAAGTGAATTACAAGATTTTTCTTTTTTAATCAGTCCAAGATTGATCAAGACAAGTCTTTTATACTTGAGGAACACATGGACAAAATAAACAGGTACTTTAAAGAGAGGTCTCAGTACATCTATTCTTTTGGAAGGACTATATTAAATTGAATTTGCTAACATTGTAATTACATTATGTTTAATGCACTGAATTTGAGATCAGATAGCAGAGTGCTTTTATTTTTTCTTTTTAAAGTAGCTTCTCGCCTACTCCTTTAAGGGGGGAAATAAGTCCATTATACTGAAATAATCTATCATGCTGATTCATTTTAGTGCAAAAAAACTTTTTTTTTTTTTGATGGGAAAGAGAGGCTAGAAAATAACAATTATCTTTTATCTTCATAAAGTCATTTTTTTATGAACGTCTTATGAAGCTGATCAAAAGTTTTTTGTGCAGTGATTTGAGAGATTGATATACTGGCTTAAGGAACAGAAGAGGAGGATAGAAACTATTGGAAAATAAGACAACTATCTCTACATTTTAGAAGCATCAGTTTTTCACAGTTAAGATATTTATTTATATGTAATACATACAAGAAAGCATAAGAGAAAATTTAGGCTTTATTTTGCCTTAATAAAAGCAGACTGCAAACACTTACCCAGAGAAGCAAGGTTTTATTTCATCATCCTGTAAAAAAGCTTGGAAAAGTTTTCATTATTGACATGGAGTTTGGGGAAAGCCTGTGTTTAGATTCATTGCTATTTTGGAAAGAAGAAATCGCTTGCAGATTGGTGAAATCATGTGTTTCCTTTTTTATAGTTGGTTCTCGGCCAATACCTTGGAACAGATAATTGAAAATTTACAGCAAGATGGTTCATCTTTTGCCCTAGAACAGTTGAAGGTAATATATGGATCATTTCTGTCCTGAGTGTGGTGAATCCTTGTGCTAAGGAAGCCTCTTTGAAGCCTCTTGTGTCAGAACTCTGGTGGTGGTGACATAGACCACTGCACAGGTTTTTTGTTTTTTTTTTCTTTACTCAGTTGAGCCCCAGAAAGCATTTTCACAAAACCTTTATCTAAACCCAAGTGCCTTGTCTACCTGCTGGATGTTGACAGCAAAGCTGAGCTGTTTTTAGGTCCTGTGACTGTAACAGAGAAAGACTTAAGGAGGCATGCCTCATCTCCTGGGAGTCCTCCTTGTCCTGGGGGAAGCATTTAAGGACATTTTTATTAGAAGGGTTGGGTTACTGGAGTATAGTCTTTTTATAATATATTGCAATTCAATTCTGCCATTAATCTATAAATTCAATTGAATATGCAACAGATCAGTATATGGTCTTTCTAAGCAGTAGGTTTAATTAAAAAAAAAAAAATGATCCTTTTTAAACTGGTAAGAGGCCCCATCTGTACCCATAGCTGAGGTTTAAGCAGTGCTTCTCAGTGTTAGGCACACTTTGATGTTTCTATGATGTGACTCAACTGTAACAGCAAAACAAAGCTGTTTTTGTATAAAGGAGTACACGAGTACTGACATGCTTGGAACTATAAGTATGAGACTTGGAATATTTCAGACTTCTACACAAAGGAGAGAAGAAATTGTGTTTCCTTTTACTTTATAGAAAAGGTGTTAATAGCTTGTCCTTATCTGATAGTATTTTTTAGTTTATAGGTATAATTGTCACATTTCAGTTGTCAAAAAACTTAGAAAAATTTAAAGTTTCACCTGTGAAGATGAAAACACTTCCCCATTGTTATATTGTCTGTTTCTCTCTCTTTTTTTAAAGATTATATTTATTTGAGAGCTGCTCTTGCACATCAGGGTGGGAGGGAGGGGCAGAGGGAGAGGGAGAAGCAGACTCCCCACTGAGCAGGGAGCCTGACAGCCCAAGGGGTGGGGAGTCTCCATCCTAGGACCCCCTGACCTGAGCAGAAGGCAGACACTTAACCACTTAACTGACTGAGCTACCCAGGCACCCCTCCCATTGTTAACTATATTCTTAAGGTGGAAATCCCAAATTAGTCTCTTAGGGCCTTATTTAGTAATTAGAATTCTATTAACTTTCTTTTTTTTTTTCTAAGATTTTATTTATTTATTTTGACAGAGAGAGACACAGCAAGACAGGGAACACAAGCAGGGGGAGTGGGAGAGGGAGAAGCAGGCTCCCCGCTGAGCAGGGAGCCTGATGCAGGGCTCGATCCTAGGACCCCAGGATCATGACCTGAGCTGAAGGCAGACACTTAACGACTGAGCCACCCAGGCACCCTGAATTCTATTAACTTTCAAGGATAGGCATAAATTAGAGTAGATAGACCAGTCATATGTTTTCTTAATTCACAATAGTAAATTAATGTGAGTCTTAACAGCTTTTAGGAATGCTCGCATAAATCTAGATAATCATTTTATATTTCAAGGATTCTGATGTTAAACTGGTTCTCTTGTTTCCAGAGCAATATAGAAACTAGTATTCCTGTTTTTTTCCCCCTGAGCAATAGGGCCCAGTTAAGTATGAATTTAGTAATTTCATTTGAGAATAGTCATGCAGCACATTACCTCATACCTGTATGATGTCACTTTAAAGCAGTACAGATATGCGAGATGACGTACTATTTTAAAACCACTGGCCTACCTCAGAACTGAGGGATAGAACTCAATTTTCTTTCAATATTCTCTCTATTCCTCTGGCACTATGTTTATTCTGCATCCTGAAGAGGGTACCTGGCAAGCCACCCATCACAGCTAGGATCACTGTAGGCTAGGATCACTGTAGGCACTCTCCTCAGAAGGACAGGTTTTGATTTTTATTCAGTTGATCTGTAGCTCAATTGTGGCTCCAAAATATTAGTATCTGCTGGGAACAACATGATGTGAGGATCAAAAAATCCCCACTGAGGTTTCCCTGATAGAGCTTAGATACAGGGTTCATTTTAATTATCTCAACCAGAAACATACATCAAAAAACAGCCCTGAAGGAGAAAATAGCTTTTGGTGCCTCAGTGAAAGGTTTGCAGATCAAATGTTTGGACAGATTTTTGAAAAGATTCTAATACTTGTGTCAGTAAGCTTCTAGGATTGCTCCTAACCCCTATTGGCCTTTCAGGGACTCCTGTCTTCCTTCTGTAGGTCCCAAGGATCTAGTCTTTTTATGGTCAAGTTGCAACCATCTACTCTGTGTATAAGGGTTCCTTTCCTCAGTTGCCCAAGGGGAAGGACATAATCTTTTCAACATATTTGCTTATCATTAAATAAAAACATACTTTTTTTTTATCCCTTCTTTAGATTTCTAAAGTTTTCACTGCTAATAACTATAGGATAGCATGGGTTAAAAAAATAACAAATAAAAAAATAACAACTCATAAATTCTTTACAACTGATGCAATTTTCATAGTACCTTAGTTTATGGCTTCTCATGTCCTTTCTTAGATTTTCTTTCAAAGTTCAATACTTTTTTTAATGGTTGTGGTTGAAATTCCTCTAATCTGCTTTTAATCCCCCTTTTGGTGTAGGTTGTTCATGATGCCAGACAATCCATGTAAGTTATATGGGCAATTTAGATGTCGCAATGCATAGCTCACATTAGGGAAAACTTAACCAAAGTCTCCATTTGCTGGTGCTCTTGTGTGCATGTATGCACGTTTTAAATTGTGATAAAATACATGTAAAATTTACCATCTTTACCATTTTTAAATATATAATTCAGTTTTGTTGAGTATATTCACCTGGTTGTACAACCAATCTCCAGAACATTTTCATCTTACAAAACTGAGTGAAACTTTATACCTGTTAAATAACAACTCCCCATTTCCCCCTTATTCCAGTTCCTGGCAGCCACTGTTCTACTTTCTGTTGCTATAAATTTGACTACTCTGGATACCTCACATAAGTGGAATCATACAGCATTTGTCCTATTGTGATTGACTTCTATCACCTAGCATAATGTTTCAAGGTTCATACATGTTGTAGCATGTACCAGAATTTCATTCCCTTTTAAGGCTGAATATTCCATTGTGTGTTTATACCACATTTTGCTCACCCGTCGTTGATGGGCATTTAATTTGGGTTGCTTCTATCTTTTTGCTTTTGTGAACAATTCTGCTATAAACATGGGTATACAAATATCTCTTCAAGACCCTGCTTTTAGAGCCAAGATGTCCATCAGCAAATGAATGGATTAAAAAGATGTGGTATAAATATACAGTGGACTATTATGCAGCCATCAAAAGACGAAATCTTGCCATTTGCAACGACATGGATGGAACCAGAGGGTATTATGCTAAGCCAAATAAGTCAGAGAAAGACATGTATCATATGATCTCACTGATATGAGGACTTCTTAATCTCAGGAAACAAACTGAGGGTTGCTGGAGTGGTGGGGGGGTGGGAGGGATGGGGTGGCTGGGTGATGGACATTGGGGAGGGTATGTGCTATGGTGAGCGCTGTGAATTGTGCAAGACTGTTGAATCACAGATCTGTACCTCTGAAAAAGTGGGGGGTAAATTAATACTAAAGTAAAGGCTGCTGGGACTCCCAAGCAGCCTTATTATCCCAAGATAATACAGTAGGAAAAAGATAGTCTTTTCAACAAATGGTCCTGGAACAATTGGATATCCATATGCAAGAGGAAAAAAGCACTTGACTCTTTGTAGGGGAGGAGAAAATTCTCCTCTGTCTTAGGGTCTCCAGCCCAGCCTAAGAATTAAATCGACATAAGCCAGATAGATTAACCGGAGAAAAGCATACAAATTTTATTAAAAATTTACATGTACATGAGAGCCTGCACAAGAGAATGAAGATCTGAACAAATAACCAGAACAGGAAGCTTTTGTACCTTTTAGACAAATTTGAGAAGAATTGACAAGAGAAAGGAGTTTGGTCTAGTGGTAGTAAATGGTGAAGAAGTAACTGGGAAGATAAGGGTTAGTTTAACAAGGTTTATTTGTATAGATGTCTTGGCCCCATGTTCCCTGTCACTGGTGATAAGAATGTCTTCCTGCTGCTACACAGAGGGCATTTTCACATGGGAGTTTTATTTTCTGGAAAAGAAGGTCATATTGTTTCTCCAGTGCCTTTAACTCAAAATAATCTATATGCCAAAGTATCATATCTTGAGGTAACATGCTCTGAACTCCTTCCCACCATATGCAATTCAGAGTGGGTTATGCATCTAAATGTAGGAGCTAAAGCTGTACCACTTCAAAAAGAAAACATAGAAAATCTTTGTGACTTTGGGTTAGCCAAGATTTTTAATGCAAAAAGCAAAGACTGCAAAATAAAAAAATTGATTAATTGATCCTTATTATAATTAAATTCAGAGATAATGTCTAAAGAATCAAGTACTGCTCTTTTATGATATCCCAAATGCTCCTGATAGTGTTTTAGGGTCACTGATAATCCGTCAGCGGACTGGAAAGCTGTTTTCCTGTTTATATAAATTGATGTATTTTCCCCTTAAGGTTTATTGTACTCCTTTCTTCTTTGAAAGTCATTATGAAGAAAATAAAGAAACCACAGTTTGGGAAGAAATATATTTGCAAACCTTGTATCTGATAACAGGACTTTATTGTATATAAAGAACACTTACAAGTTAATAAGAATACAAACAATGCACCTAGAAAATGGGAATCTAGACACTTCACCAAAGAACATGTGTAAATGGCCTTACAGTAAGCACATGTAAAAATGCTCAAGATCTTTAATCATTAGGAAAATGCAAATTAAAACCACAGTGAGATGTCACTGTGCATCTATTAGAGTGGCTAGAATTTACAGTACCAACACCAAATGTTGGTAAGAATATGGGACATCTACAACACACATTGCTGGCAGGAAAGCAGTTCGGCAGTCTCTTACAAGTTAGATGTACATTTATTGCAAGACCCAACAGTCCCACCCCGAGGGATTT